ATCAACAAACAGGAAGGAAAGAGCAAGGTAATAGTGCAATGACAGTGATTATCACAGTAAGAAGCATCTTCAGCACATTGTTAGATGAGTTTTAGGAAAGGGTTTAGGGGAAGCCTAAGGGAGTGCTTCGTTAACCCTTCTCTGGTCTGTAGGGAGGAAGAGTATGAGAGAAAGCAGGGAGGTTTTTTAAAGGAAACTGGCATAATAGGCAATGACAAAGGCATCACTGACTGAGCAGAGTAGGGAGTGATGACTCAAAGCTCTTGAGAGAGGATGACACAGGTTATGAGTGCCTGATGTGGTGGGAGAGGGAGGACCTGTTGCTGCTAAGAGTCAGGGTAATGTAATTATAATGATGTGATGCTATCATGGAAGCAGTGTTTTGTATGTCAATAGAGGGTGGGAAGGAAATGGCATTTTCCATGATCTGTCTTCCAGCAGAGAAACAGCCACATGTAGTTGTGCCTATACTGTGTCTTTGCTTCTGCAGATTTGGATTCTATAAATATATGAAAATTGACCAGCCAGAGAGGAGAAATCTGGAGTCTGAGGAGAAAACAGAGCAACCAGGTAAAGACGAGTGAAAGACAGGCAGACTTTTCTGTCTGTCTCTCAATGTTGTGCAATCCCCAGGAACGACAAAAAGAAAAACTATTGACTTCATGCTCTGGGCAAAACAAGCGACTGTCCCAGAGTTTCCAAGACAGTCCTGAATTTTGGGGCTGTGTTCCTATGTCCCCAATGACTCCCTGGGACAGAACTTTCATCCCAGGTTTGAAAACCTGCGAGGTAAGGCCCTGCCTCCTTTGCTAAGAGGGTGTAAAACAACTGTGCGTGGTACTACAGTGACATAGCTTTGCTGCTTTGAGGTCAGGAGGTAGCCACAGCACCACAGGCTAAATATCTCTGTCTCTCAGTGCTGCATGAACAGGGCTATGTTAATTAACTCTGCCACAGTTCCACACAAATACAGTGCTGTCCTTTCTGGTTTGGAAAGCAACCATGGGCTGTCTTCTGAGTGGAAAGCAGCAGAGCTATGTAGCCTGTCCACAGCACTCACACTATGGCAGCTGTGCTAACCAGAACTGGAAGGGGAGTCAGCTACTCCTGGTTCCATATGTCTGTGGAGCATCTGGATATGTGCCCTCGATTTTGCTTCCTGAGAGCTGGTCACTTGAATGCTGAACAGCCCTTTGCCAACACACATCAGAGACCACACCTGTGGCCCAGAGGAAGTTTTGTGAAATTGCAGGTGGGGTGATTTGTATACTTTTCTAATAATTTTGCCTAAGGCCTTGAAAGGATGGATTTTTTGCTGCTGAAGGGTACTGCTGACAGCTCGGGCTTCAGCAGCCTGATGCTTGTCAAACCCTGCTGCATGCTTTCTAGCCCTCAACCTCCTCCCTGCTCCTTTCAGTACCTGGCCCTCCATCCTTGCTATCAGCCCTGTGGGAGGTGCCACGCTGGATGGTATCCAGTACCATGTGCCACAAGCAGGCTGTAGCAGCTGCAGTGAGAGCTACACTTCCTGCCCACAATTTGGCCATAGGCAGGACATTACAGCTGAGTTCCAGGCAGGTTGGATCAGCCAAAGTGGCACTCAGCAGCACATGCCTAAGGGCCGTGGCAGAGTCGGAGGGGATAGGTCCATAAACATCAAGGTGACTAGTACAAACTGGAGCTTAGCTTTCCCTCCCCAGAAGCCCCAGTGGCTGTAGTGGACAGAGTACCCAGCACTCCAACTTAGATAGTGACTGAAAACAGGCAAAAGTATGCTCCTCGCAAAGGGGATGCACAGAAGGTAGAGGTGTACTGATACATTAGTCCATATTGTATCAGCTTTGAAAAAAGGAAAATTGACATTATCGGCAATCAGCTTTTTTTCGCTGATGTGGCCAATAAAGTCATCAATAAATGTTGTGTGCATGCGCAGCCACAGCATGCATATGGTCAGCCCTGCAACTTGGAGAGCAGTGTCAAGCTGGTAAGTCTGTTGGGAGGGAAGGGGTGGAGGCAGCAGATTGAGGCCTCTGTGGTGAGGGAGGGAGTGGGCCTGGGGCTGGGTGTGGGACAGAGCCGTGAGCAGCACATCCGGGGGCGCAGGGGTGGGGTGGCTCCTGCCATTGCATGCACCCCCAGGAGAGCCATGGGGGGCATATGCCCCCCAGATCTGTGTGCAGGGCAAGGGCACGCTGCCACTGTGGGCTGGGGACTGGGGCAGTGCTGGGCTCTTCCTGGCAGGGGGGCAGGGCCAGGGATGTGCTTGGGCTGGGTGGCGGCAGTGCTGGGAGGGGGGGCTATGGGGTGGTAGCCCCCCCTTCCAGCGCTGCCACCACCGCTCACCCTGAGCACAGCCCCGACCCAGCCCCTCCTACCAAGAAGAGCCTGGCACTACCCACATCCCCAGCCTGCAGCAGCAGCAGCCTGCCCTCATCCTGTGCACAGATCTGGGGGGCATATGCCCCCCAAGGCTCCCCAGGGATGTGTGCAATGGCAGAAGCCACCCCCCATGTCCCCCAGCTGAGCTGCTTGTGGCTCTGTCCTGTGCCCAGCCCCAGCCTCACTCACAGCAGAGGCCTCAATTTGCCCCTCCCACCCCAATTCCCTCCCTCCCTCCGCCCCTTCCTCCCCAACAGACTTACCAGCCACATGCTGCTCTATAAGCTGCTGGGCTTCATATTGACAGTTGGATCGGTATCAGCCAATATGGCTCGTTAATAATTGGCCATCGGTATTGGCCAAAAAAATCTTTATCAGTGCACCCCTAATAGAATGGACTGGCTGCTGGACTAATGGAGCAGTTATTCCCTTCCTGTCCCTTTGTGTGGCCCAGGGAGCAGAGAGGTCAGAGGTGTAACTGTGATTGTCTTTGTAGGCTATGAGGAAGGGAACCCTGATGAGTTTCAGTACATGGACCAGGACACAAACCCCAGCAAGCAGGGGGCAGAGCTGGCAGTGGGCAAGGCATACCCCAGCATACTGATGGGCTATGATGATGTTTACAATGACTACTCTCTCCAGGGGCATAGGAAGCCCCTCTCACTCACAAATGGCAATGTGAAGGAGGCAGTCCCAAACAGAAGAAGAAAGAGGCCCCATATGAAGGCAGTTACCCTCACCTCAGACAACCAACGCATCAACAAAACCAGTCTAGAAAGAAACCCACCCATGAGGAGGCCTCACTTAAAAACTGGGGTCAAGGACAATTCCAAATATCCTTCTCAGCATGCCAGGAGCACCCGTGGAAGGCCACTCATCAAGAAAAGAATAGGAGACCCAGGTCCTGTCTCTAGCACAAGTCCTCAGGATGCCTCGGAGCATTCTCCTGGTGGATCTAGGGACTCAGGTGGTAGGATACCAAGAGGGGCAAGGCCTCCTCAGAGAGATCTCAATTCAACTAACACCAAGAACCAACCAGCGGGCACCATACAAGCCAAGAGACAAAGCCCAGTCTCTGGTAAAACCAGCAGAAGAGCTGTAAGTGCTGCCAGCCTCAGCAAACAGACCCTTTACCAAGCACAGTGGCTAAACCAAGTGGAGTCATATATTGCTGAGCAGAAGGTGGCAGATGGCATTGATGCGGATGTGGAGAAGGGTCAAGTAGAGTCTCAGGCAAAGGACAGGCATGAACTTGTAGACCTAGCAGTAGCAGAGGAAGAAGAAGAGATCGAAGGAGAAGTCGAGGGGGAGGAGGAAGGATTTGACTACATGCCAGTGTTTGACCAAGTAGTGAACTGGGAACAGACCTTCAGCACAAGCATCTTGGATTTCCATGTGCTGCGAACAGACTGGATTGACCTGAAGTGCAACACATCGGGGAACCTGCTGCTCAAAGAGAGGGAGGCCCTGGAGGTCACACACATCTTCCTAAAGAAGCTCAACCAGAAGAACAAAGGGTAAGGCACTGTCTCTTGCAATTCCTTGAACTCCCTCCCTCCTTTGGGCTACTGTATCACACTGCATAGGAACCGTAGCCTAGAGTAAGGAGCTGGTAGGAAGAAGAGAGTTAACCCTGAGTGTTGAAGGTACCATGTTAGGAAATGTAGTGAGGGCTGAACACCAGGGTAGGCTGCAAGTGGGACATAAAGTCTTTTATAGCAGGTCCTGTCTAGCCATGGCCAATAGAGGCTGACTGTTGATATCTGGTGGTTGGTGTCAAATGAGTTGACGTTCAGTCCAGGTCCCATTTTCACAGTGAAAACCAGCTTCCTCGCTGGCTCTTTTGTTGTGTCTCTTCAGAAGGGCCAAGCACTGAATGGACATAGGACCTGATCTGAACCTTTAGCTGTAAAGAGAAATAAGGCACGCTGATGAACCTGTAGCTACCCAGCTCTGTCTAGTGACCTGATGCCTCTGAGGCTGTGACTCCAGCACCTCTTAACAACATAGAATGTAGACCCTGAATGGACCTCCTCATTCAAGTACCATTCCCTGCCTCATAAGCAACCACAGCATATAATCCCAGTCACAAACTGGTTAGATTTCTGCCAGCTGTTGGAAGGTTTTTCCAGACCCTACTGGCTATGATACTTAAGAACCTTCTAATTCCCTGCCTAAACTTATTCATGGCCAGTTTATACCCATTTTTTTGTGCTAGTGTTACCTTATACCTTAAATGCTTCTCTCCCCTCCCAGAAACTTACCCCCTGGATACATTTAGAAAGGGTACATCTCTGCTCACTATTCATTTGTACAGGCTTTCACAGTTTCCTTTCAGAAGAGAGATCCTCCATTCCCTTAATCATTCTGGTAACAGTTCTCTGTACCTGTTTAAGAAAGATGAATTTCAACCAAAACCTGGGTGACCAGAATTGTACAGGGCATGGCAGGTGAGGTCTGGTAAAAACTTGATGAGTCCTAGGATTGCATTTGTTTTTATCATAGTCCTCATACCATTGGTGGCTCATAGCCATCCTGTGATCAGCTGGTATACTAAGTCCTTCTACTCTGTCATTTCCAATTGATGAGCTCCTGGCTTAGGGCAGAAATTCTCATTGCTAATGCCTAAGTACATGACTTTGCACTTTCTGCTATTATATTTCATCCCTTTTCTCTTACTCCAGTGCTCAAGGTCATTTGATCTTTTTCCTATAAGATTTTTCTATCCACTTCCATATTGATAATGCCTCCCAACTTTGTGTCCTCAGCAGATTTCATCAGCATACTCCTCCTTCTTGTGCCAAGGCCATTAATGAAAATACTAAAGAAAATCCATCTTCCCAGCACTAAAATAATTTTATTTAATTAAAACAGCTATTTTCTGTGTGGTCTTTACTACTTCTCCATCATCAGTTCTTTGATCTTGGCTGGGACCCCAGATCTAATCCCAAGTGATCAGAGATGGGGCCAGGAGATGAAAAAAGATCCCCACCTCATCTGACATGGGTGAAGCAAAGCTATGGACTGAGAATGAAGGGATTAATAATGTTCTGGGAAGAGGAACCAGCTACGGTGACATTGGCGGGGGGGTGGGGGGTGGAGGCTGGGTGGTTGGTGCAGGCCTGAGGAAAGAGGTGATGTGGGTGTGGGGAATGTGCCTCACCCAGCTGTGCCCCTGCAGGAGGTTCCAGCTGCAGCGCATAGTGAATGTGGAGAAGCGGCAGGACCGGCTACGAGGGAGGC